CTCGATCTCGTCGATTTTGCGGCCTCAATTTTTGTTTCCTTCATTAGCCAGTTTTTTTTCTCGCTCGTAAACAATGAATTTTGATTTATACGACGGCAGCCAAGCCGTAATCTCCGATTACTCACGGTTCCTGAGAAAACCGATCGCTCGGAAGGTTCGCCAACTTCCCCCGAAATGTCACCTCCGATTATACCCTGGGAACCCTAAAATCACATGGGCATTGGGCGCGGAGGGCGGACAAAGGGGAAAAAAAATCTCGAAAACCCGGAGAAGAAAGCAAAATTGTATCGTTCGGTGGACCCAATCTATCTTCTTTCCAACCGGTGCATTGGCCTTTTTATTATTCTCCGAGAAGGAAAAAGTGGATGGAAATCCTCAGAAAGGGCCTACCTGCCGATTTTCATGGAACAAACGCCCCTAGAAGAACGGAAAACTGGAGGGGTCTGTCAAGCCCGGTTTCTTCTTTTTTTCTAGCTCTCTACCTGTCCCTTTTTACCCCTCATCCCGCAGCTCAGATTTTGATCTGACGTTGGGAATAATCTCTACATTTACGACGGGGAAACCTACAAATCCGGGGATCTGAGTTCTCTTGAACCTAAGGACGAATAAAAAAAATGTCTCGATTCGTTATCTCAAACGTTACGATGTAGATAAGGTTTCGTTAGTCTCCACCAATCTTCGGGGTTCAGTGCCTGAGTCATGTGTACTGTCTGGAATAGGACATTAGTCCAGTGTCTTGGAGGGACCGTTAATTAGTCCAAATGGCCCCGGAACAGGCCATTATTTCACTGTCGAATCTCCCCGGTCCAATCGGCGGGAGGGGGAGAGAATTCAAGTGATAGAGCATCACTCTAGTCTGGGACCCTTGGGGATGACGATTTTTTTCGGGGTTTAAGAGATATTCATATTGACATTGAAAGGTTTTATTTACTGTACATTTTGTTGTACAAAAATACTGAAGACCAATAAATGGTCAAGCAACAATGATATTTTGAGTTGAAAGAAAGGTCCTATGGACGCTGCTCTCAATAACGAAAAAACAGTATAATTTAGGAATGGGCGATGTTTTAAAAAACATCGATTATCGAAGAATTGATGTTTTTCTCATTACACAGGACAAAAACAAATTGTTAAAAATAATTTTTTTCTTCTCGTTTTTATTGAAGAATACATATTTAAAAAATACAATCCGAGGGACTTACGTTTCAATGATAAGTACCGCTGGAGAGTTAAATTTTGAATCTCGAAACAGGATTGTCGATTAATTTAAAAAAATATATTGAATATTTTCCGTTAGCTACAATAAATGTTAAAAATTTAAATTAAAGACAAATTTTCAATTAAAAAAAAATAGTTGACTGGACTTATTCGCTTATTATCTATAACAGACATACTGTAGAAAATAATTACTTCCCGCTCACCAAATCGCCTCTCATCAGCCCCATCTCTGAATCTTTTCGCTGCGAAATTTAGAGATTTCCCCTGTTCCCAGCGAAAATCATTGTTGTTGTTATTCCTTACTAGTCTAATCCCTTTAATAAAAAGGACAGTACCATCTGAGCAAAAATCATTGAATATTTCTCATTTATATGTTCACAGTGCCCGGCTTGCCAAACAGCGTGCTCCTACCGCACCACCCGCCCCGAGGAAGAGTACCTGCCGTCGAGCTTGCCAGCGCCAACCAGAGGTCCCGTAAAATTGGGTCAATACGACATTGCCGTAGTGATGCGTCGAGTTGGCACAAGTTGGAAAGAATCAGGTTACTATCCCGGCTCGCGAGTCCCTTCGCTCCGTCCGGACACTTGGATTCTGGTGATCCTTCAGGATGGCATCAGACACTACAGCTGGGAGGAGTGGACCCCCACTCTGGAGTCCCTCAAGGACGGCCCTTTCGTCGAGGCAACGCTGTCCTGGTGGAACGTTGATGCACAGCTGAAGAGACAACGCGATGTCGAGCAGAAGAGGTTCAACGATCGGGTGCGCCAGTTCTATCTTGAGAAGTACGGGGAGAAGGTGCTCGTTGAGTGGAGGGACAGCCAGGACACGCCGATACCTGAGGAGGTCTTCAGGAGGTTCTTCTTCAGGAGGAGAAATGAGGAGGAGGCACAGTCCCAGGGGGAGAGCATCACCACTGATTCCTATCCCGTATTCAAGGGTCAGGATGGTCCGTCTATGAGGCAGACCATGGAGAAACAGTCCTACGTTGTGGCGTGGGAGCCGGAGACTGGTGGACTCATGGGGAATCAAGTCGTTGACACCTTGACTGCCCAGATCTCGCTTCTTCCTGGCACCAAGTATCTCGTGAGGATCGCCTCCAATGATGGCCCCGGCAGCTTCTCCATCGAAATCGACACGAGACCGAATTCCGTGCAAGTTTGGCGGATAAAAAAAAAGTTGGAAAATTTTTACCCGTGGGCCATAGGCGCCGGGGCTATCAGCGCCATTCTTGTGTTTGTGGTGGCTCTCGTTGTGAGGCGAGCGTTGAAGAGGAAAACTGTCGTGGATGAGGAGGAAGTCTGATTCCGGGAGGTTTTAGGGACAGTTTTAGTAATTGTTGTGAAGTACTTGTGATGAATGATAGGTGTGATTTGAGAGTCGTTAATTCAGTTGGGATTGTGTTTGCCTGAAGTAAGAAAATTGTCTTTTTGCATCAAACATTTTGATATGCGCTACATCTGGTCAAGATTTTACGCCGAAATTTCCGGTGAGAGTCCTGGGAATTTCTGACCGTTAACATTTTCACTGGAATTTCAAGGAATTTTGTCAGCGAAAATTCATAATTTCGTGGAAGAATCCGATTCAATTCTTCAATTCTTTCGAGAAAATTGATGAAAAATCAAATCAAAAAAATCAAAAAATTGAAGAATCGTTCCTTGAATTCTGGATCCCTTCGAATTTCCAAGGAATTCCGAGAAATTTAGAAAAATTCCATGAAAAGTCAAGGTCATTCGATAGTGAATATTCATTTGTACTTGAAAATTCATGTAAATTGTGGAATTTCTGCCATCATGTCGCTGAAAAATTGGGACTTTAATAGAATTTTCAGAGAAACTTGAAATCTCCATAAAATTTTTCCCTTGAACCGAAATCGAACTAATTTTCCGAAAAATTGAACCAAAATTTTTTAACAGTATAGCGGTCATTTTTAATTTTCCCCAGTCATTTAATGTCATAACCGCACTTGAATTCACTGTAATTACACTGCAAACTGCAAACTCCATGCCTAGACCAAGGGGAGACTGCACATAAAACATTCATCAAACGTTTTCACTTTGAAAAACGTAAGTCGCTTGTCAGTTTAGAGATTCAATTCAAATTCAAAATTCCTAGACCGGATCTGTGAAGTTGGTCATTACCCCCTCATCAGCCACACATCTAGCGTAACACAAAGAATTTGCTCAAATCCCCGTAATGAACAGACTGTATGAGAGTTTTCACGACATGTCCAGTTGATGTCACGTGTAAATATGTATAAGAATTCTGTATTTATTTGTAAATAGTCAACCAAAAGTGTAAATACCTACGTATGTATAGTATTAAATCATGCTTACAGATAGTATCAATCAAAAAAGACACGAAACGAAGAATAAAGAATATCAAATTGATATTTTGGTCTTACTTAATCAATCAATCATCCATCCCCAGTAGAAGATATTCGGAGGAATGAACTCACCGAGTGCACATGATACAAATCAATACGTTTGTTCAACCGGCAACATGTACAAATGTGTGCCGGCGACCTCGAACCTGAATGTCCCGTTACCTGGACGTCGGCTTTGACTCTTTCTATCATTCAGTCTTCACTGAGAAGTCGAGTGAAGATGAGACGTTTCTTGACTTACGTGTTGCCAGTCCTCTACGGGACTGTTCTCGTTCTATCTCCAGGTGATACCAGTGAAACATCGATTATCACTTCTGCCGCGATATTCTGTCTCGGTGCATTGCCCTTTGGATACGCCGCTGGCCCCAGGTGAGAATCACGAAAATTGCGGATCAAATATTGACGGAGGGAATCGGTTCAATGGGAGTTATTTGTCTAGATACGTACCGAAATGGAAGAAACAGGCGTGTGAAATTCCAGCCGCACAGCACCCAAATTCTCACTACGTGTGTGATGAGGCCGGCGAAGTGAAATGCCTACCAGGTATTCAATTATTTGGGTTAATGTGAGAATTGTACGTGCGGAGAGTTGGCAATAATAGTTTTACCGGTTCCCGTTGACTTCTGTTCATAAGTATTCATTATCAAGTTGAGGCTCTTTGTGCACGTAGTAGCGCCACCCCGATATTCGTTTTTTCAATAAATTATTTATAATTATTATCATTGCAAAAAGCAACACGACCGATGAGAATCTATGTGCCAATTTATCAACTGTTTAATTTTCATATTGCAATAAGTGATTTACTCATGTTCTAATTCCTATGCTCACTGAAAAAGATTTTAATCATAATTACAATTCAATTTCTTCTAGAACACACATCAGCGTGTGAATTTCTGAAATTCAATGTTTGTTGGTACTCTGGTAAAAGTGCGTGCCCACACTGTTATCAATTTTTAGTTAGTTCACACGGTAATTCAATTAATCTGTTGTTCATCTCATTAGCATAATTCCGTGCTTAGAATATTGTCATCTCGTGTTTTCAGCACCAAATTAAAAATTTAAACTTCATTTCAGTAGCGAAGCGGTAAACCGGGTTAAGTCGATTTTGACTTTGGGTCAGTTTTTGATGAATATCTCGGAATCTAAGAGAGAGGGCAGAATTTTCCCATGACCTTTTTTGTAACCCTCAATTGGCTCTACAAAAAAGGTCATGATAAAAAATTTTCTATCTCTTTTAGATTTCGAGATATTTGTCAAAAACTGGCCAATAGTCAAAATCGACTTAAACCGGTTTACCGCTTCACTACTGATTTGGAATATTGAGTCACAGCTTCTTTTTATTAATATCAGAAATTTTGTATTTGGATATTAATATTATTTGTTCAAAGTGAAAAAATCGATCATCATTTTCACTATATTGCATTCAGATTTTCCTATCCTTAACGTCAAAGATGTGAGATAATCTCATAATTCTAACTATTAATTCTAATCAACTTTGTTCGAAGAAAACCGTAGTAAACGCAATATTAAGAAAGTAGAATTATTCTACTTTCCTCTGACCTAAATGATTTGGACAATTATGATTTGTTTATTCATGTATCATAGAATGGTATTCAATTCTCTTTTAGGCGCGCTTCATGAAAATTCGACGCAGAACGATTGTACTCATGAAAATCGCCTTACTTTCTCCATTCGTTCGCGATTTCCGCCACGTTCGAGTCCTCATTTCCGATTCGAGATATTGCCCATGTTTTTTTTAGAAAGGATATGTGGGCAAATCGGAGCGTCCTCAGTCGTCAATATCTTGCGACCCAATGATTTTTTTGAAGTTATTTTTCTAAAGTCTCAAACTTTAGAAAAATAACTTCAAAATAAAAAAAAACGTTATTCCTTACTTTTTTGTATAATAAATTCCATTGACTACTTTCCTTTACTACAGTACTTCCATTCCACTAATGTATTCATAATCATCGATGATCGGTGAGTTCTCAACACATGCATGCGGCGGTTTTAGGTACCGTTTGCTGGAAAATTTGGCACAAACCGGTCCTAGAAAATTATTAATTGCAGAACATGCAATTAAATTTTCGGAATTTTCGTTTAGGATGGACCGGCGATCTTTGCGACGTTCCATTATGCCGCAAGGGCTGCGATCCCCTTCAAGGTTACTGCCGAAGGCCCGGCGAATGCCAGTGTAAATTCGGCTTCTACGGTGAACTCTGCGACAAGTGTGTTGCGTTACCCGGATGCCAACACGGAAGGTGAGTTTTCGTTTAATATCTTCGACAGAGAAATCTGAATGGGGTGACGTAGATGACATTGACCCCCAGACAGGTGATCAACCTCTCGCGTTTCTCTTCGACGCTGACGTTTCACTCTGCGATAACGGTTCCGGAGGACTCTATTTTGTAACACAATATTATTTTTTCCTCGTGTTTTTTTTTCTTTCACGGGTTTGGTGATCGATGGAAAAACAACATCAGATGCAACGTGAGTTTCGAATGCGCTTGTGATCCTGGCTGGAAGGGTTTGTTCTGCTCGGAGCCCATATGCGATCCAGATTGCAATCCGAGTCAGGGATACTGCATGAGACCCGGCGAATGCAGATGCAGATTAGGTTGGCAAGGGCCCAAGTGCAAACAGTGCGCTGTACTTCCGGGTTGTGTTCATGGGACGTGTCAAGGGCCCCTTGAGTGTCGCTGCGAGCCGGGATGGAAGGGCTTTCTCTGCCAAACACGTAAGATGGGACAGCCAAAGAATAATACCTTATTCCAAGATTTCAAAGGTCTAAAATGAGATTTTCTAAAGTTTTAAATCGAAGCTTGAACGTCCAAAATTGAGAGTTTCGAAAGTTTCAGTTTGGGACTTTGAGGTCTCAATTTAAGCCTCACTATAAGGTCTTAATTATCTTAATTTAAAATTTGATAGCCTCAAGTGGATGTTTTTGAATACTTCAACATTATATTTTAAAAAAAGCTTATTTTCAGGTTTCAAAGACCTTAAATTTAGACTTTCGAAAGGATCAAATAGAAATTTTAAAAAATTTTAATTCGAGACTTAAAAGCTACATTTGATCCTTCTGAAAGTCTCACGCTGAGACGTCTCAGGTTTTGCCTTCTGAATGTCCTAGACAAATGATTGACACCTTCAGGCAAACTCTGATGATTCAGACTCAAATGTTGGCGAAACGTCGGTAAAACACTTAATCTAAACGCGGCATTCATCCGGAAGCCATAACAATGAATAATAATGTTGCCCACGAAAGCCTCAAAAATCAAATGATTTTTATCGTGGAAAATTTATCGTTTATGAATTATTTATATAAAACGCTCGTAATTTTCAAAAATTGCTGTGTTTAAATTATTTCATTAATCCTCCTGCAAACGTGAACTTTCTAATGTTTCTTCAGATTTTTAAAATATTTGCTGACGGTTCAATATCCCCGGAGATATCTCTCTGTATTATAAAAATCCAAATTGACTTGTGGTGATGAAAATTTGGGACTCGAAATTAAAACTCCAAAATTGAGGGTCAAAATAAGGCTCACATGGGCGTAATAGAGGGTCACAAGGGTTAAAATAAGGGCTCACATGAGAGTCATGGAGGTCATATGAGGGTCGGTGAAGGGAGCGAGGGTCGTATCCCCCTAGTGTCCGAATATGAATGGAATGGAAATATATCCGGAACCTTGGGGTCAAATGGGGCTCAGATCAAAGCTCTGATGCTAGACTACAAAAGTAAAAGAGCATTTCATTGAAGAAAAAACAGTCAAAGTACTTGGATATCCTTACACGGAGAGAAATATTCAGTAAAAATTACGGAATTCTCACTTCACTCACCGATTACGGAATCGACTCAGAAAATTTAAGCGACAGTATCGTAATTTTTCACAAGAGATTCAGATAAAAATTACGGAACACTCCGGAAAAATTCCGTGATAGTTCCGTAAAATTTCCTACAACCACTTTTCGCTCCGGAATTACGGAAAAGATACGTAATTTTTATTGAATATTTCTCTCCGTGTAAAACTTCGAAAGGTCTCATCTTGAGACTGTTGAAAGTCTCTTCCAACTTTTGAATGTCTAAATTTGAAACATTTAAAACATTTTTACATTAAAGAAGGGAATTTATAGCGTTCCACGTCTTTGTAACGTAAATAATGAAATGATTGGATGGGATTTGGATGAGATAGGAGAACCGGAATTATTCTCAATATGAATACGACCTTTCAAATTTCAATTTGAGATCATAAGTCTTTACAAAAGTAATAAAGCTTTTTTCTTTTTCGGTGCAGAATAATACGTGAGGAAGTGTGTGAACATTTGTGGTTGTTAAGAAAATCGTTTGTTTTCAGCTATTTGTTCACACGGGTGCAGCAGAGAGAACGGGGTGTGCATGAGGCCTGGGACTTGCAGATGCAGGGTTGGGTATACTGGACCCAATTGCACGGAGTGCGTGCCGTATCCAGGGTGCGTCCATGGCACCTGTCGCAGACCCTGGGACTGCCGATGTCAGCCGGGATGGGCCGGCGATCTTTGCGACGAGAAATTGACCTTCTGCGATGGACATCCTGATATATGTCAGAACAATGGGACGTGCATTAGTATGACTAAGGAGGATGGCGATTACAGGTGGGATCTCCTGATGTTGCATTGTTCTGAGGAGAAATAATTGCGCAGCAATTGTGTGCGTTTTTTCAATAGAAAATGTCAAGTAGAAAATAATTTAAAAAATGGAGGGAATTTCATCTTGTTATTCAACTTTTTCTATTGAGACATTTTCCGCGGGAATTCCCCCACATGAATTTTCCAATTTTTTTCCACTTTATTTTTCTTTTTTTCTCATTAAAAAAAAATCAAAAAATTTGAGCCGAGGAATTTTAATAGAATATATTATATGAGAAATCAAATTCTATTGGTTTTTCCTGTGAAATATTTTCCATTGAACATTTCTTTTAAAACAAACACTCAAATGAACTGCAGAATTTTTCGGCCTGATTACGATTTTTTTCACGAAAATCACAAGGGTCACACAAAAAAAGGAGTCGCTAGGGTCAGAAGGGCCACAAGGGTGACACTGCCTTGGTTGAATGCGTTTTTGACAAAAAAAAAATGTTTGTTGGAGATTTTAGTGCCTCAATTTTTGCGATTTGTTGCAATTTTTTCAGAAAACAAATTCAGTTAAAAAAATCGTCAACAAAAAAATTTTCATTGAAATTGAGTTTTGTTGTTTTGAAGCTGTAAATATAACCATTGAATTCCCATTGGAAATTTGAGTACACGAATTGGTGTCTCAAGTATAAGAAGCTTTCCGGAAATTTTCGTACTGTGAAAAATAAGGACTGAAATGCTTACATTCCAAAAACTAATTGAGATTCAATTTGTCCCTCAGTTTATCCATATTCCTGACGTAAAATAGTAAAGAAAACATGTCAAATAGCGGCGCCGAAGGAATCGTAATCTTCCCAATTTTTCGATGAAGTCATCGAATTCTTTTTTACGTGAATTCCTTTCTTATTTTCCATTGCAGATGCATTTGCCCACTGGGATACATGGGTCGGCAATGTCAAATTGAGACAGTGGAGCCGGCAACGGACTTGACCCCTCCATTGCCGATCGAGAAGCCCATAGAAACGGAAGTTCCCTCCGTCAAACCCGAACAGTCCGAAAAACCAGATGACCAGAAGAATATTGGAGAGTCGCAAACAGTTGCTAACTCTGAGCCATCCTCAGCTGCTCCTGGACACGATGTCCTCGGAGATGGGGGGGAAAAAGTAGCGACTGTCGAACCGTTGGGACCTATTGTGATCACCGACTTGCCGACCACCCTTCAGCCAGCGGCGACTGCGGGTAAATGGCCGACTGAACCGCCAACAGAAGCGCCTGTGACCGACAGCGACGCCGACAACGAGGCCTGATATCTTCGACATGCCCTCGAATATAATTTTATTTATGTATTTATTGTCACTGATTTCATTAATTTACTCCTCTTCAAGCCATTATAAGAGAGTTGTCTGATTACATGTGTAGTTGATCGGTAATAAGACATTTTTAATGGAATCAATCGTATTTATTCAGCAGTCCTTTGCCTAATCATTCCTCTGTATCATCTTCATTAATATGAGGAAGGTATTACTCATGAGCAGAATTTTCTATTTATTTTTCATGGAAACATGGAGATGTAGATTAAAGTATGGAGCTAAAATTCTACAGCTAATTTATGATGAAATTTTGGAAATTATTAATTTGATTGCGATTTGAAGAGAATACACGAAATTTTCAGACATGAATTTTCTACGTATGACACATGTTTTGTCCTCATTGCGGATATGTGCTGTACTGTATTGCATTATGGTTCTATTAAAATTTCGATAAATTTCGTCATTCAAAGTTGAAATTTTACGAAAAAATAACTGGAAACTGGAAAGTTTTGTTCAATTACTTGCACCTCTGATCATTTCCTCATCAGAAATATTGAACAAGAATGTTTTGCCATTCACTTTATGGTCGACATCGCAGATTTAATAATTAAAATTGTTTTTTAATTGAAAAATATCTCAGTTTTCACAAGTAATTGACGCTCGTCATTGCTGTTGTTGTCGGTAGAAAACAAAAAATCGAACAACTTGTTATTTCATGACAGCTCCTTTGGAAGGAACAAAACCTGATTATGAATCATTTCCCTTCAGTGATAGTATGAAGTTACTCCACATGAGTCAATGGATTCAAGTTTCTTAATAGAATGCATTTATATCGCACAGAACCAAAGTAAAGGTACATGGAGAGAAAAATCATGAAAATTCCCCCTGAAAAAATTTAGTAGAAATTATAATATTATGATGTCATCTCCTCGACAAATCGCTTGCGAGAAAAATTCCGTGGAATGAGTCAAACCATGAGCTAATTCCGTCAAGTGTTCAGAAAAGGAGAGAAAAATATGTGAAAAAAAATTGATAAGAATTGAAAAATTTATGTCTAGGAATTTCTATAAAAACTATTTCAATAGAAAGTTGCATGAAAAAAATTAAATTCCACGGATTTTCTCTATAAAAGTTTCTATTTCACATTTTCTGTGAAAAAAGTGCAAAATTTTTCGGTAGAATCAACCGAAAACTAATAGAAAGATGAATAAAATTCCAATAAAAATCCAATAGAATTTTTTACCGAATTCGCTACATTTTTTTATAAAATTTTCTCGGTGGTCAGTGGAAAATATTCTATAGAAGAAATAAATGGAATTCGATTTGTCTCTACAACTTATTGTATTGACATATTTCGGATATCAATTCCTCAGCTTAAATTCTCCAATTTTTTTGTTCGATTTCATAATGAAAAGGGGAAAAAAAATAACTGGAAAAAACTTGGAAAATTCATGTCGAGGAATTCCGATGAAAACTCTCCATAGAAAGTTGCATAAAAAAAATAAATTCCTCTGATTTTTTAAGAATGCAGAATTCTTCACTAGATCAGCCGCAAACTATTAGGATGTTCAATAAAATATCAATAAAAATCCAATAGAATGCTTTACCGACTTCCCTAGATTTTTCCATAAATTTTTTTCGCGCGTGTCATAATCAACATAAATCCCTCCATTTCACCCCATAAATAACGCGATACTCTCCCGCAACGCCGATAGCCACTCAATGTGGCTTCTCACGTCCAATTATCCTTGGCGTTGCGTACGCAGAAAGGGCATACGGATACGAAGAACATACGAAGGACTGCTGCCCCGCGTAGCGAGTCACTTTGCTATATGTACCCGAGTTTACGGTTGAACGAGCACGTGTACTGTATCCCATCGCACCAGGCAAACCCACGTAACCCATACATTTATTATGTAACACCAACTTTTATCCGCACGTTTAACTAAATCGTCGGGTATATCGAGAATACTGTCAGCACAGGCATTATTCCGGATCAAATGAATTTCTTTCATTTCATATTTCACTCGGCTTCCTATTATCCTCAGGGCCATGATCCGGATAATTTTAATTTTATTTTAGGGATAATAATCTCGAGACTTTCAGAATCCTGTTATCATTAAAATCAAGACTAATAATAACTAATGAGCGCTTACCACGAAAACGCCAATTCTCTTGAATTTTCAAGATGAATGAGAAATTTTATGAACATTTTCATTTTAAATTAAATTCAAACTCAGCACTCAGAATTCAGATGAAGCTGTGGCTGAAATTTCAAGGAATTTCTGGCACCGTAGGAATTAATATTTGTCATATATGAGTACGTTAATTCGACCGAATGACGCCAAATTAATTAGCATAACCTAGTAGACAAACCAGGAGAACCTGGTACAGAGTGGTAAGCCCATGTCCGCTCGAGACCCGCACGTGTCTCAGTCCGTTTTGTACCATTACGACATAATCTTCAGTTTTTTTGAATATCAGTTTTAACTACCCCGTACTTTCAAAAAAGACTGTAAATTACATGCTCGATATGATAATAATCGCGGAATTTTTACGGGTAACGCACGAAACTGGGTCGTCTCGCTCTAGAAGCCATTACCGCAGTTGCAATCAATTCTCGATCATTCTACTCATCGATACTGGAATCGCATGTCTATATTCCTTCTCAAGGCCGAGGCTGGGTCTTTTACGTGGGGTATCCTGCGTATAAAAAATATATCGCGTAATACTGGAGATATCTCGGTCGAAATGCTTTTTAATTGCGAAACTTTCAATTAGCTTACGCGATGATGCTGTCCATTTTTTCCTCCGGCGAAGGTATCTTCAGGTGTCGATTGAAAGTTTTATTTATTACTCGCAATTACATGGACTTGTGGAATGCACGAAATTTATTATATGGGGCTGATGGATTTTTTCAACGTCGCGGATTGAAAATTTATGATTTATATATTTTTCGGGTGAATATCGGGGGAATGACGTGTCTGCAGTCTTCAGTCGCGAGATTATACGTGAAAGTCGCCGGAGAAAATGATATTGGGATCGGTAATTTGTATTTATAATTGCTGGTGCGACGGTATCGAATGTGGAAAAATAGGATTTTTAATGAATGAGAGTGGAAAGGACTCCGGTAAAGCAGCTCTTTCCTTACGGCTCGTGTCACGGAGTTTTTTCACGCAAAAGAAATTATAAAAATTATTGTTTTTATTTATAAATTATTGAATGGAATTTTCGAGGTCATGGAGATAAGAATTATCTCATTCATTAATTTTTTAAAATAAAAGTATGAATGAACGATTTTTCAGTTGACTAGTTTGAAAATGGGCGTGGCAAGACTGTAAGATCATGTGAGTGGCGGGAGACGAGCGGAGCGAGCGCAATTACTATGGCTGTTGTCATGTCTTTTTCGGTTCTGACATTTTTAATAATAAAAAAATTTATATTTTTCAGCTTTTCTTCCATTTTTAGATAAAAATTCAGCATTTAATATTTTATTTGAAAGAAGACACGGAAGATTTGGTGATTTTCATGTGAGACCCTGGGTTAAATAATGATTTCTAAACATTTTGATTTATAAAAATGGAAACAGAAATTGAATCTTTATGTGATAATTTTGTAAATTAAGACAAAGCAAAAATTTTCTGTAATCTTGGGTTATCTTCTATATAATCAACCATGATCATTTATGAAAGGCCACATCCGCGGAATATTAGTGAATGCAAACAAGAAGAAGAGAGTGATTTTATTCATGAAAAATTGAATGAATTCTTTATTTATTAGAGTATCAATTTTTTAAAGGATGTTAATCATTCAATTCTCCATCAATTTTCTTTCTATGTACATTTTGTTTCTATGTGGGGAGCAAGCGAAGCGAGCGGAGGGTCGACGGCGCCCCCCGGATTGGCGAGCGAAGCGAGCAGGGAGCGACGACCCTAGTCATGAAAAAAAATACTATTCCGAATCTCATTGACTTTTCGGATAATTCATAGTTTAAAAAAATATTTTAATTGAAAAATAACGTCTACATCATCTCACTAAATGGTGCGATTTGGGTGAATTAGATCTCACTTTAAAACCTAAAAAAAACACCTTGAAAATAAAATAAAAAACTTCCCTCTGTCCTTCTTGAGCTATTGCCGATTAAAAATAAGTTGGAATAGAAAATTAAATTCACAATTGAGCTGTAAAATAATAAAATTAGTCCGAACAGTATTGCATCACGAGCGAGTATTTAAAAATCCAATTTTTACAATCTCGAAATCAAGTAGGAAGAGGAAACTCATGGCGAAGTCGATCGAGCCATTACCGATTACTGCCAAGTCTTTCACGTTGCATACTGTCTGTAACAGCTCGTGATTTCGTTTGTACGCGGTAATGTTTTAAACACTCCACAGTCATACCTAATGTTACGTTGCGAGGCAGTGCCAATGGAGAGATAAGAGAAAAGACGCCCATTGAATAATTCTACACCTACGCCTGGAGTCATGCAATGCACTCCAGTTTCGCGTAATACACGGAATTAAGTGCACCCACTGGCAGAGGGATTCATTTAATGTTGACGAGATTTGTTAATCATTGGATATGACCAAATGAGTAGTTTTTCGCATTTCAGAAGTGATTTAATCAATCGAAAAAATTTACATTTGATTAATTAAGGAAGAAGGTTCAGTAAAACTCGGTTATTCTTGACATTTTCAGCAGTTTTAATATATTTAAATATTCACTGCTCAATAAGAAATAATTAATCGATGATTTTTTTTTGAATCTTTTAAAAGAATTAAGAAATAATGGAAATTGTGTAAATTTTTGGAACTTATTTATTTTGTTTTAAGGTGAAAAATGATTTTTTTATGAATTATTTCCGCGGAAATGCCTTAATCATTGAATATTGTTTTTTTGTTTAAAAAAATTGCTTCAATCCCAATTGAAAATATATATCAATTATCAGATATCATGAAAATTGAAATTCAAATCATTAAGAATAAAAACCGTTTTTG